AATATGCCGATTTTTTCAGTGTACAGCTAAACAAACCATCAGAAGCATCCATAACATGCCGAGATTAAACGATAACCGAACTTAGACAATTACTGGCCAGAGTAGATAACATAAAGAAAGGGGATCAGAGGGTCATGCATCTTATGAGGGTGTACTTAATAGGAGAATTTGTGAGACGAGCATAGAGACTTATGCATGCGGATAAAGAAAATGTGTGATAAATAAACACAATTGAGGGCACACCTATAAAAAAAGAAAAGAAGATGAAAAACTCACGATATCGTCGATCTTCAGAATGGACCTGACACATTCTGAAGCTTGTTTGATGGCAGACAGGGTGACCAACAAGGGCTGGACTACATTCTCTTCACGTATATCAGTAACGTATCCCTAAAATTCATTCCTTCCTGAACCGATAGACAAAACTTTGCAACGGAACCGACCTTTCTAACATTGACTCCATAATCAGTGTTACCGTTAGCATGTTGAGCACGCAGTTCAGTCACAGTGTGGATCGGTGAAAGCCCAGCATTTTCGGCGAGAGTATAAGGAACCTAGATAGACATTAGAATGGCATAACAGAAACTGCAAAAAACACATACCAATTCAAGAGCATCAGCAAACGCACGGAAGCAGTACTGTTTGGCACCAATTTGCTTCTGTGCAAGCTGACGTAACTGCACCGCAACCTCCATTTCAGGTGCTCCTCCACCTGAAAAAATCGTTTTGTACATTCGTCGAATATTTGTTTTTATATCGCATTAGTGACTAGGACCTACCCGGAAGAAGCGCCTTTCTTTTGACAAGACAGCGAATTACGCACAGCGCATCATGCAAGGAACGTTCGGCTTCTTCCAAAACCAATTTGTTGGAGCCACGAAGTAGGATGGAACAGGCCTGCCCAGGATTGGCAACTCCGGTGACCTTTAGGAAAAAATACGTCGACAATTACATGCAAAGAGAGGCAGAAAAACACAGTGTAAAGCAAAAAAGTGCAATCATTCAAATTATACTGTCTGGAATCATTTGTATAAACATATAAACATACCTTGATGATCTTGCCATCACCTCCGCAAGCAACCTCTTCTACTAGATCTGCCGATCCGAGAGCTTCAGGAACGAAGTGATCTACCGACGCTACGGGACGGCACCCAAGAACCTAAATGTGAGCAAGTGATTCACCAATAGACAAGATCC